GGCCCAAAATATGTGTGTGTCAAATTGTGTAAGTGCACAGTGTGTGACAAGAGCATGCAAGCATGTTATCTTATTCCCATATGCTACCCAATCTTCAACTATTAATCAGGTCAAACACAGAGACAGATATATGTACAAATAAAGATCTTCTATCCTAGGATTTGTTTCACATGTTATCTATCCTAAGACATGTTATAAAAAAATAAAAAGAGAGAGAAGAGAGAAAAGAGGGGAAAAAGGCCCACACAAATTAAAAGGGATAATGATAATAAAAAGAAAAATCATATTATATTTTGAGCACAACAAACTTATATAGGCTTGACTCTCTAACCTGTCCCCAGTGGAGTCGCCAACTGTCGCACCTGAAAAAATGCGACGCGAACGGCGCGCGAGCGGAGGTCCCGGCCTTCGCGGCGGGAACTGGATCGAACGAGGAGTCGCCACCAAGATTTTAAGGTAAATCTCAGGAAACTGATTAATGGAAGATAAGGGTGATCTGCGAAATTAGAGAATAGGTTCGAGAGTCGGTTGAGTGTGGGGAAGGTGTTAGGCACCCCACAACACCCGTTCGTGAGAACGGTTACCTGAAGTTTGTTGTGCTCTATTAATATAGTTTTAAAATTATTTTAATTATCCCTTTTATATTCATGTGTTTGATATAAAAATGATGATAATTGAGTGAGAAATGTTTATTTATTTATGAGGGAGGACGGACTTGACTCAGAATCTGACTCTGAAGCCTACGTACCCTGTGATGGGGATCAAAGTCCACGTAGTTCGGGCTCAAAAGTTTGTTGATGAAAATATTTTTTGAAGAGAAATTAATTAGAAATAATTCACCATTTTGCAAATAAAACCATTTCTGAAATTTTGATATGTGTGTTTTAAATTACAAAAGGTAATTTAATTTTAATTATTTTCTCCATTTTTGAATTTTTGGAATAAAGAAAGGAAATGGTTTAAAATTATTTTTCTTTATGATTGAGGATTTAATCGCAGTACCTGCAGAACCTAATTAGTTCATACGATAATGCAATTGCTCTAAATATCTGCGGAGATTCTAAAATCTCACACGATAAAAGAGTTTGGCAATTTAATTTATTGATTTATATTCTTGTGTATATTTTAAGTGTTAAAAAAATATATTTTAAGTGTGTATATACATATTTTAAAGGTTCTTAATCATCATACCTGCAAAGCCTTATTAACTTATACGGTAATATGATTATCCTAAATATCTGCGGAGATTCCAAGATCTCACTCGATAAAGGAATTAAATTTATTTAAATTTTTAATGTGATTATATTAATATATAATTTATACGTATTTTAAAAACTTAATCGTTATATCTGCAGAGTCTTATCGACTCATACGATAATACGATTATCTTATAAGTCTACAGAGATTCAAAAATCTCTCATGACTAAAAGATATAATTGATAAATATGATTACCATTTAAACATATTAATTTGGTTAATTAATTTTTCTAAATTGTGTATTATATGATTATTTACAAAAATTATTTATTTATTATAGAAATTGATAATCACTACATCTGCAGGGACTTATTATCCCCACGATGAGGTGATTAATTCAAGTCTCTACGGAGATTCTTGAAACATCACATGAGACTTAAATAAATTATTAATTTGAATTATAAAAGGAGAGTTAATTTAATGGTGGGCCTTTAGAACCCATATTAACATATAAGTTTTACTCTCGTATCTGTGAAACCTCATTGATTTGCACGATACGAGATTATCCTGAATATCTGTAAAGATTCAAAGTCTCACACGATAAAATGATTAAATAATATTCACTTTGAATATATTTTAATGTGTAATTATATAACACATATATATTTTTTTTATTATAGAAATCTTAATCGTTATACCTGTGAAGTCTTATTGACTTACACGGTAGTACGATTATCTTAAAGGTCTACAGAGTTTCAAAAACCTCACATGACCAAAAGATCTAATTAGAAAATGTGATTATAATTCAAATTTATTAATTTAATTAATTAAAATCATAAAAACATTTATTATTTTATTTACAAAAATTTGTTTATGTAATATATACAAATTGAGAATCACGATATCTACGGGGATATATTATCCCACCCGATAATGTGATTAATTTAAGTCTCTACGAAGATTCTTAAAATCTCATATGAGACTTAAATATTTATTATAAGATTGATCCTCATGCCTGTGAAATCTTATTGATTTACACGGTATAAAATCATTCTAATGCCTACGGAGATTCTTAAAATCTCACACGACAAATAGATAACTAAAATATTTGTATTTGCAATCGGTGCATAATATTATAGTTGGCTAAACAATTTATGCAATAAAGGCAATGGAAAGAATAAATTAATTTGATAATTTGTTATTCTTTTGACTTGAGGATATATTCTAAAAAAAAATTAGATTTGGCATAAACTTTTAGCAAGATCATAACCACGATAGATACGACTCCAAACCCCAATCAACCTCACAAATTGTCAATATTTTCACAAGCTCTCCTTTTTTATTTTTTTGTCAAACACCTCTCATGTATGTTCTAAATTCTACATAAAAAAAAATATTTAATTCTCAAATTTTTAAATGCCTAAACATACATCTAGAGTAGTGCCTAAACATATCTGGATCAGTCCACACCCTTAACATCTATCAATAAATATATGTTCATCAATGAATCCGAATTAAGGGAGATGATATAATTTAAATATTACCTGAGCAGCTTGTGATTCTAGGCTTGCATTCTTCTTCCTCCCAAGACGATGCTTTCATCACCTCAACCTCAAGTTTTGAATGTGTTTCAGGTTCTCTACTGCTTGTAAAACATCCAGAACTCGTGTGACTGAGGGAAGAAGAACATGGTGATCTCGTTCAGTCCACAAACTAACGTGTGCATACATGCTACTGTTTATGCATGTTCTTCTTCTTGCTCTCTCAGTTCCAGTCCCTATTTAGTCATCCTCCAACTTCTGCTGTGTCTCTACTCTCGGTCTTCGTTCTTATGCTCTATTTTTCTTCCTCTCTCCCTTTCCAGTTTCGGTCTCTTTGTTTTTTCTTTGTTGTACTCTGTTTTTGCTTCAGTTTCCTCCTCTCTTGGTCTCTTTCTCGTCCGTCTCTCTCTCGCGTTTCTGGCTCTCTTTTTTTCAATCTCTCCTCTCTCGATCTCTCTCTTCTCTTCCTCGGTCTTCTTCTTCCCTCCTTCCTCCAGTTTTCCTCGCTGTCTTTTCCTTGCTTAAACCTCTCGTTCTCCATCTTCGACTCTCTGTCTCCGTTCGTTCCTTGTTCCAGCTGCTGTGCTCTCTCACTCTCCTTCTCTGTCTCTCTCTCCTCCAGAAATCCCTCTCTCTCATTCTTCTTTTCTGCTCTGTTTCTCGTTCAGCCGTGTTCTCTTCTTTCCATCTCTGTTTTCTTCCTTTTGTTTCTCTCTTCTCCTCGTCTCTGTTTTTTCAGTTTCTCTTCTCTCTCGGTCCTTTCTCGCTCTCTGTCTCTCGCTCAAAAGCTCTCAGCTCTATCTCTTTTTCCATTTTTCTCTCCTCCCGAAATTTTTCTCGTCCCCCCTCTATTTTTTTTCTGGTTTCTGTGTCTGCTCTTTTTTTATCCTTCCACTTGCGTGCGTCCTGCATTTTCTCATTCTGTTTCTTTTTTCTGCTGGCCGAAAGTGTATGTACGTATGCTGGTTGCTTGCTGCTCCTTCTGCTCTGTTTTACTGTGCATGCATGCGTCTAATCTCTTTCTGCGTTTTTCTCTGTGTGGCTGTATGTTTACATGCTTCCTTTTGCTTTCTTTCTCTGCTGCGTCTGGGCTTTGCTTCTTTTCTTCTTGTTCTGTCGCGTCTGGGTGTGTGTGTGCGCTCTATGCATGCTTGGTTCTTCTTGCTTTTCCTTCTCCTGTCTATATCTGACCGAGTAGAGAGATTTTGGAACCAATGGGTTGAGATTCAACCCCCTTTTTTTTTATTTTGTTAAATTATTATATTTTTAAAATATAATCCTAAAAAAATATTAAATTTTATTATTTTTTTATATATTTTTTTTTTGTTTATTTATTAAATTTAAAAAATGCCCGGACAAAATACGGTGTTCACAATGAGTTCCTTGAAATAAACTCTTCCTTCCTTCCTTCCTTCTTTCCTTCCTTTCTCTACACCAACCATCTTTTTTAATTAATGACAAACCATTTGGTAAGTGATTGATCTGGATTCAAATTAGGAAAAATGCCTATTATAAGGAGAAAATGCTAGGAGAGAAACCTTCTTAGTATTCCCTTCTTCCTATTTTCTTCACTATCCAAACAAAACCTAAAGCCTACCAATAGAAATCATTAAGATCTACTTTCTCTGGTCCTTATTATAAGATACCTTTGACTACTTCATTGGAATCAAGAAAAGGTGGTTAAGTTATAAACTTTTCTTGAAAATAGAATAAGATTCTAATTTTATCTCTATTTAAAAGATTTTTCAAATATGCATTATATTCTCTTTTTTAATTAATAAGTTTAAAGAGAGGGCAATATTAAAAAAAATGTAATTAAAACCTCAAGTGCCTCATGTTAAGGGCTAAATAGAAGGTACCCTATAATAAAGACTGGAGGGAGTATGTGTCAACTCAGTACATGTTAGGAAACTCTCCCAGGGGTGCATTTGCAATATTGAGCAATTTGTTGGATCTTGCAAACATCGATTTCAAATATCTCAAAGTATGTATCCCAAAAAAAAGAAAAAAACATGTAAAGCCTATATGTTATTCTAATTTAGTAAAGGATCAACTTTGTAGTCCAAATAAGAGTGTTCTATTTGCAATAATATCTTCTGTAATTCCGGGCCTTCATAACAACAAAGTCCAATAAAATAACTTGAATCATGTAAAGATTAATTCGAAAATACTATGATCAGATCAAACTAACAACTTAACTTTATCAAAAGATGAGACTGTAATTAATAATCTACCAAAAAATGATGATGAGATTGTACCTACCTTCAGTGTTCATCAAACTGCCAAATCGACCCTTGGATAAGTTGAGGCTTGTCAAGTCTTTGAAGGTTTGGAACAACGAGAAATCAATGGGTATATGCTCTTGAGGCCTGTAATTAAGACCTTGCAGATAAAGCCTCGAAACTCGACCAGAAGAGGCATGGCACCTGACTCGATTCCAGGTGCAGCAATCACGGTTTGGATCATTAACCCACAACGATAATCTCCGGTCTACAAAAGTGGCATTGTCAGAGTAGTTACGAAAATAAGCCTTAATACTCACTAATGCTTCCCTCTCTTCTCTCACGCAACATGTGATTCCAAGCGTTTGAGCCAAAACCAGAAAACATGCCACCGAGATCACCAACCTCGTTTCCATTTTTTTTTTTCTGTATGCATCATATCATATGCATGTCATCCTCTTATATACAACTACAGGTGACGAGTCTCATGCATTTTTTCACGTTATCTCTTGTCATTGGTACAATAGTAAAGTCATTAATGCATCATGCATGAGGTCACAAAATTTCAAAGACCTTCTAAAAATCTCAGTGAGTGGATATTGAACCTCCGTGCCCAGACTCTTCTGTTGCATTGACTAAAGCTGAAGAGTTCATTTATACATATGGGCTGCTGTTCCACGGTCAGTCAAAATGAAAAACTTGCACTTAAGATTATGAACACAGGAATTTTCAACACTTACAATTAATATAGCATTTGTGAACAAGGATTAGTTTAGTTAGTAAGGATTTGACGTGAACCCATAAAGTTATAGGTAGATTTAAATCTCACTATTAATATAAAAATTTTGCCAATGGATAATCTATAAATGCTTTTATAAGCACTCTTTGAATTGAAGTCACATCTTGTCATATTTAGTTCTGGGGTTAAAAGTTAAAAAAAAAAAAATTGGTTCTTTTTTGTAATTTTTAAAGTTATTTTCTGATTAATTAATAGTTCAAATTAACTTTTTTAAATGATAAGAGTTACATTGTACTATTTTCAAAAGTTAAAAGAAAACATATAAAAGAAATGAGTTCAAAATCTTAGACGTTTATGAACCTATAATTTAAGAATCAATTTACTCATTTACCCAAAAAATTATGTAATTTATTTTAGAGTTATATAATCTTTTAATAAAAATATAAAAGTTCTAAATTTTATTTTTTTAAGAAAAAATTTATGGATTTTAACCTTTAATATTAACAAACCTAATGATTAAACTATAAGGATTTGATGAAAATAAAATAAACTACAAAAATTTAATTCAAAATTTAAAAAGAAATTATAAAGACTTGTAAATTAATTTTGCCAATAAATTAATACCTCGAGTGTTCTTCAAAGTGCTGAGTTGACCTTGGGAGAAGTTGAGGCTTGTCAAGTCTTTGCAGTTTGGAACATTGAAAAACCCACGGGGACATCAGCCAATGTGGTTCCACTTACATAATTAAAAGCTTGAAGAAAAAGCATTGAACGACGACAGAAGAGGGATGGCACGTGGCAAAATTCCATTCCACTTACAGAAATCACTGTGTGGATCAGAACTCAGGACGACAATAATCGCCAGGCCACTGAGTGTCAATTTCGTAGCAATTCAGAAAATAAGCCTTAATATTGAGCAGTCCTTCTCTCTCTCTTCTCTCAGGCAACATTTGATTCCAAGTGTTTGTGCCAAAACCAGAAAACACACTAACAACAATACAGACAACCTCAGTTCCATTGTTTAATTTTCTGAAACTCCTTAGATTCATTCATGTATCGAATGCCAGCATGGCTTTCCTTTATATACAAGTAGTTACCAAGTGTCTCTTTCTAGTTTCTTGCAAGCTTAATGACATTATATATAGACATGTCATTATATTAATGCATGAGTCATGACCACACGTTTCAAAGGAGTCGAGTCATTACATTACACGTAGAAAAAGCCTCACTTAATAGAAATCGTATATTAAAACCCAACACAGGTTACCTAGTCTGACTAGAGGGCCGCTTCAAGAATTTTGGATGAGGTCAATCGGTTGGATTTTATAATTTTTTGGAAAATTTATTTATTTAGTTTTATAGTTTTAATTTTATTATAACACAATTTTTAAACTTTAATTTGTTATATAATTTAATTTTTATAATTTTAACTTAATTATAATTCAGTCTCCGAATATTAATTTGATGCAATTTAATTCCTATAATTATAAGCATTAACTCAGCTTTCTAGTTTTGTAAAACAAAAGTAATAATATATCTATAAGATGTTCTAGTTTTTTAGTTTTTCAGAATAACTTTTAACTTTTTTTTTTCAAAAAGGATGATTGAAAACATATTTTCGAGCAAGTTTTTTTTTTAATTTTTCAAAATAAAAAATTTAAAAACATGTAATCAAACAGGTTCTTAATCTCCATGTTCAAATTTGTGTTGTTGTATGGATACGAAGAGTTGCAATGGACATGCTTATACAACAACAAGCCTGATTTTAAGAGGTAAGGTTAACTATATGGATTATACAATATTATTGCGCTGTATCATTTAAGTAGCTTCTATGAATGTTATTAATTAAGGGGTTTCAGATAACAATTTTCATAAGTGATCTTTTTAGCCTTTCTCTACCTTTCTTAGTAGATCTCAAATTTATTCAGTATACTCTCTTTATTGGTACTTCCCATGGTTTACTTTGTATATGTTCAAATTATCTCAAATGATTTTTTACTATTATTTTTCTCAATAGGTGTTATGTCCTCTCTTTTTTTGTATATGCCTATTTCGAATTTTATCTTTATGTATATGCTCGCATATTCATCTTAACATTTTCATATTTGTTACTCCTATTTTATACTCTTACTATCCTGTTAAAGCTTAACATTCACTACAATATAATATAATTGGTTTTATAGAAGTTTGATAAAATTTTTCTTTAAGTTTATTTGATACCTTACAATTATAAATAACTCATTTAGCCTTTTCCTACATGTTCAATAATAACTCGTAAATATATAAACTTTTTCACTTGAAATATAATCTAATCTCTCAATTTCACTTTCGAATTACTACTAATTGATATTTTATCAAAATCATGATGCAAATATTTCATCTTACTCCTACTCAAGTGAAAACCTTTTGACTTCAATATCCTCCTCCATAACTCAAGTTTATTGTTAATATCTTCTCTTATTTCTACAATAAAAACTATATTATGAGAAAAAAGCATACATTTGAGGATTTCCTCTTAAATATGTTTAGTCAAACATCTAGTATCAAGTCAAACAAATAAAAACTCAAAGATGATCCTTGATATAGTCCAATCCTTATATATAAGTCATTTGTTTCACCACTAGACATTTTTATGTTAGTTGTTGCCTTTTCATATATATATATATATATATATATAAATCATGTATAGCTCTAATATAGGTAACCTAGACTACTTGTTTTCTTCCCAAGTCTTTCCAAAACATTTCTTTTAATAACATAGTCATAAATTTTTTCTATATCAATGAAAATCATGTCTAAATCTTTACTTTTACATCGATACTTTTTTATTAATTTTTTTAGTAGATAAATCGCTTTTTCAGTCACTCTACCTAGCATGATGTTAAACTAATTCTCAAAAATACTAGTATCCAATCTCAACCTATACTCAATAATTTTTTTTCACAATTTTATTGTGTGACTCATAAATTTAATCCCTCTATAGTTAATTACAGTGTTTTTCCTACAATTGTCATACATTTTCTTAGACTATAAGATCTCGTTAAATAACTTAGTTAGCCACCGCATCCCTTTTTCACCTAATATTTCTACACTTTAATAGGAATATGATTAAGTCTATTAGCTCTATCATTTATGATTTTTTAATTTATGATTTTTTAAAAGCTTCCTTTATCTCATTATCGCTTATCCTTTAATAGAATAACAAATTTTATTCTTCTTCATGAGTTACTAAATTTTCTAAGTTATTAGATAAACCTTCTACATCATTGAAAAGTCTGAAAAAATACATTTCCCATATGTTTTTAATATCACCATCTGTGACAAAAAAAATTTTCTCTTCATCTTTTAAGCATTTTGCTTGTTTCAGATTTCTTAATTTTCTTTTCCAACTCTTAATAATCTTATAAATTTTTTATTCTTGATCATTTGTCTTGAGACCATTGTAAAACTCTTTAAATACTTTAAAATGAGCTTTACTCACAATTTTCTTAATTTCTTTCTTAACCATACAATACTTTTTCTAGTTTTCATCATTATTGCATAAATTTTCACCATCAAGACTCCTTATTCTTATTTCTTGGGCCAAAATTTGTTAATTCTCTCAAAACTTCTTAACAACCTTCTTTACCTTTTTAGTCATATTTTTTCACAATAACTTAGCACTTCTTTAAAACTCTCAAATTCCTCCAATCAAAAGATTTTACTTAAAATTTTTTTGCTTTTCACTTTTTAACTACCACCACTTTTTATCACTTGTCATCAACACAATGCACGTGCTTATGTAAGGACCAATATGATTCCCCTGCCCATCAATGAAATTGGAAAACTTTGTCCTTAAGTTGACTGTTGACCAGGGACGAATCCAACAGCAAATCTATTGGGGGCAAATTTGAAAATTATGTAAAATATAGTAGGCTGATATTAATTTTTACATTTTTTGCAAGCAAAACAAAAAAAAATTCAAGGATCAATGATATTGTCTAAATACGTCACGGCTGTTGTTAGTGTTGGGATACCAATTTGATAGTCAAAGCATACTCAAATTCCATGAATGTGGCCCTCTGCTTCTTGCCCAAGAAACCATGCTTGTTGCTTCTCACAATAGTGGGAAAAGAGAAGGCTGAATTGACTGAAATGCATAATAGAAGAGTACGTGGGCAACATAAGTCATGATTATCAATGTTTTATTTTTTTTTTCTTTTCTCTTTTTTGATAAAAAATTTATTTATACGTAAATAGTAAAATTTCTCTTCTAAAGATTTTAAATATTTGGCTAATATCATATGTTTTGTTAAAATAAAATTGTCTAATAATTAAATAATTATAATATCGTAAAATGAAACACTATTTTAAATGCTTATTTGACTTCATTTCACCCAATCTTATAAATTTTCTCTTTTTCTAAGAATTATGCCTTTAATTATTTTTGGAGTAATTTGTCTTTACTCGACTAATTACATGGTAAATTGCAATTATCATGAAATTCCATCTTAATGTTACTAAAATACTAAAAGTAAAATTGAAATGTTACAATAAATAGGTCAAAATTTTTAATATATTTATGCAAAATATTAAAATTTATATACCAACTTTCCAATATTCCTTAAAATGAAGGGATGCATTTGTCCTTCACGCTTCAATGTGACTTTGTCATTGGACAAAACATTAACCTTTGAAGTTGATTATTCATCATTATGTTCATAATCCGTAACAAATAAATGAACTAAGATACAATTTTTTTTGTTAATAGTACATATTTGACTCTAATAAAATTAGTTAAAATGGAAAGAAAAACGGAAATAAGGATTTTTAATATTAAAACTAATTTTTTACCCACAAATGGACCGGCCCTGGGCATATGTGGTAGGGGAGCATCCCCTGATAGGCTAAGTGATCCAACACAAAAATTGGCCAAGAATGAGTGTTTTTTGTCCCCACTTTGGCCCACTTACTTTAGTTGGTCAAGGGGGTAAATCTTATGGGTCTCGGCCCATGATTCCATTTCTAAACAAATTGTTCCCTATATTTTTATAAAACATATTCTAAAAGGTTTATTGATTTCATTTATAAGTTACAGTATTTCTTTTTAAATAATATTTAAAAATTATTTTTAAAATTACTCTTTACATGAGAGAATAATAATATGACATCATTTTTTAGATTTGTTATATAAAGACATATTTAAAATTTTACACGCTTTTATTCCTTACACTTTTTTTACATTGGTGTTGATAAGATTGGTAAAAATGATTTATAAAAAGGGTCAAAGGAGCATTTCAATATTAATCTCTATAATTTTTTTTCCATTATTCCTAGTCCTTTAAGTTTCATTCATTTGCAATGTTAGTCCTTATATTTTTAAATATGACTATAAAGACTTAATGCTGATTAACGTGCACATAAATTTTGTTACTTCCTGTGCTAATTTGTTAAAATCATGATGAGTTATATAAAAATAAGTAAAAGTTAAAATGAAATGAGAATGACATAGAATCATAATCCTTAAATGCATGATAAGCCAAGCTTTATAAGAATGAAGAAGTGATGGTTAGGGCAGAAAGTATTTTGCCCATACAATGTTCAACTCATCATAATTTTATCAACTCAACAACATATTTAACAGGATCATATACACATCAACAAATTAAACTCTATTAGTGACACATTGCATACAGATGAAACATAAAGGATTAGGAGAAACAAAAAAATATAATAACTAATACCAAAACATGCTAAAAATATAAGGATTAACATTTATAATATTTATATTTTCCTTTTTCTTTAAAAAAATTTAAATAAATTCAGTTTCAGGAGCTTACCAGGACCAATGTGTGACTCCAACTCAAAAGGCATTTACATATATACCTATAAATTGTTCACCAATAAATTTTTTACATTAATATTGAGATTTGAACTTAGAACCTTGTGGGTCAAATTTTTATTAACGGGACTAACTTTTGTTGGCAAATGTCATATTGATTTATTACGATATCGTGCATAGAGGTCATATTAATTGCAAGTGTTGACAATTCCAGAGGTGTTTATCTACTCAAGTGCAAGTTTTTCAAAAGGCAGGGGAAACATGGGTCCATATGTATAAATGAACTCTTCATCTTTGTCAATGTAACAAGGAAAAATATCTGGACATGGAGCTTCAATATTCACTCAGTGATGAGACATTTTGTACGTGAATAACTCGTTTCAAAGAAGAAGGTCTTTGAAATTTGGTGAACTCATGCATTAATAACATAAAATGAATGCATGAGCCTCGTAATTTGTATATAAGAGGATGCCATGCTTGTGATATGTTGCATACAGAAAAAAATGGAAATAAGGTTGGTGAAGATCTTGCTGGTATGTTTTCTGGTTTTGGCTCAAACGCTTGGAATCAGATGTTGCGTGAGAGAAGAGAGGGAAGCATTAGTGAGTATTAAGGCTTATTTTCGTAACTAATCCAACAATGACACTTTTGTGGCCCAGAGATTATTGTTGTGAACCGTAATTGTGCACCTGGAATTGAGTCAGGTGCCACGCCTCTTCTGGTCGAGTTTCGAGGCTTGATCTGCAATGTCTTAATTACAGGCCTCAAGAGGATATACACATTGATTTCTCTTTGTTCCAAACCTTCAAAGACTTGACAAGTCTCAACTTATCCAAGGGTCGATTTGACAGTTTGATGAACACTGGAGGTAGGTGCAGCCTCGTCATTATTTTTGTTAGATTATTGATTCCAGTCTCATCTTTTGATAAAGCTAATTAATGTCCTGCTTTGTATGGGAGTAAGAGTGTTTAAAGAAAATGGGAATGAAAGTGAAAGAAAGTTGAGAGTAGAGCTAAAAATATGGGTTAAAATTCATATGGTCAACTTGACAAAAAGTGATTGATTGAATTAAAAAATTTCCAACTTATTTAAATACGTACAGGTTCAGTTAGCTCATCCTCTTATCCATAACTCACGGATGACTATAGCCTGTCAAGTTATGGATTGTCATGTTTTATTATTATTATTACTACTACAACTATCTTTTTTAAATTTTAATTATTATTTTAAGGATAATATTATTTTTTGTATTGATTGACATTTTTTTTTTGAATTAAAACTTGATTAAACAAAGTGCAACTGATTAAGTGGTTATAAAGGAGAAAATTCTCTCATCATCCACCACCTTAATGCAACAAGGGGGTGGGTGATCAGATATACTAACAATCTAAGTAAAAGTAGCATTACTAGTTAAATATAGTGAACACAAAAATTGACTTCTCAAAACATGATGTTAGTTTGTGTTACGTCACTCTTTTTGTAAGAGCAATCTTGCTTGCTCAATGATATCTTTGAAAGGGTGATAATTAACATTACTGCAATAGATTAAGTTAATAGCTTCTGCACAATCAGTGAAAACTTTAACTCGACAAAATCCTCTAGCCCCGCAGATATGCAGCCCATAAATGATCCCAGACAATTCAGCTAGCGCCACAGGAAGAGTTCCAATTCACAAGCATTAAATCCCAGAATCCAATCAGCCTTACTGTTGTAATGCTTGTTAATCTTAGTAGACAGATTCAACAAAGAAAGATCAGATTTAGCTTTACGAAAAGTAGTACTACTGATCCAGTAATGTCAACTTCCTCATCACCAAAAAGATGTTTGCATCTCACACCAAACATCCCAGCTGATTCATATTTTTATATTCATTGTGTTAAATAAATTACTTACTTATATTTGCAAGTTTTGAAGTTATCTTAATCATACAACTTTATCAATCATTTGATCCTATAATTTTGACTCAATTATAACTTAATTTTTAAATTTTGACTTATTATAATTGAGTTTTTATAGTTTTAACTCAATTGTAACTCATTCCTTAAATTTTGACTCCGTCTGTTCCTGAAATTTTAACTAATTCAAATATTATTTTGGGAAATAAAATATACATATTAATTTTTTAAAAAATATAAGGATTAATATTTTAAATCACTAAAATTTTACCAGAGGACATCAGAGTTTAAATAGTACAACAAAAAATTACATGTTATACAACTCACATTACAATAAATATAACATCAGCATACATCACATGGATTAATAATAGAACAATACAGGTTTACAGTGAAATTACATAAATCTTTGCTTCTAGCACAAGTCAACAAATCTAAGGTTCTCGTGCAATTTATTCAACACTCCTGTAAACTCTACCAGAATGCATCTTTGAGATATGGATACAAACATCTATAGAGACAACTGTCAATATGATAAAACCACAACCTTCGCCAGTATGGGTTGATCCAGAGAACTGTTGCCATAATAACTAACACTGCGACATAGCATGCAGAGAAACTCCAAATAAAGGAAGTAAAATCTATGACAGATTCATCCTCCTTTGCGTCATTGCTGAGTGGAGGTGGTGGTGGTGGTACGTGTGCGTTGGGACCTCTGTTGCTATTGTTCCAAATGAGATATTCATTTCCTATAAAGCTGCTGTCATCAAAGGTTAAACCACTAGGCACTCTACCCGACAAATTGTTGTAGGACACATTGAAGACACCTAGAAAGTTCAAGTCCTGTAACTGGACAGGGATTTGGCCGCTCAAGTTGTTGTTTGAAAGGTCTATGCTCTCTATGGCTGAAAGGTTATGGAAACTTTTTGGAATGGATCCATTTAAATGATTGTGAGATAAGTTCAATGCATGAAGGTAAGCCAAATATCCTATCTCCTGAGGGATTTTTCCTGTTAATTGATTGCCTGACAAGTCTATTCCTGACATAAACCTCAAAATGTCCCCTTTGTATTGAAGCTGCAAATTTTTTGTCATAAAATCTACTTCAAGTCCACCGGCCACTGCTGTCATAAAATACTGATTTTGTTCAAAAAATAGCTGAAGTTGAAGTGGAGCGTACTGGTATCGGGAATCTGAAAAAATTAATGTCATATCACGCTCAGTAAATCTGTTTTCCCATGCTCCAAATGAGACTTTATCAAAGCAAGTAGGAATATCCCCAGTGAAGTTATTACGTGACAGATCCAAAAAACTCATTTTCTGGAGCTGGCACAACTGGTTAGGAAGTTGGCCTTGTAGCTGATTACCACCCAAAAGAAGAGCTCTCAATGACTTCATTCTGACAATCCAATCTGGAATAACACCAGATAAATTGTTGTCCCTCAAATCAAGTGCCACTAAGTAGCTACCTGAACTCATTAATGTGGGAATGGAACCTACAAAGAGATTGCCTTGCAGTTGCAGGGAGACCAACCCTCCCATATTCAAATAGCAAGTTGGTATTGGACCAGTGAATTTATTATGAGAGAGGTGCAAATGCAAGAGGTCAAGTTTGCAAAACTCTCTGGGTAGTGTACCATTAAAATTATTTTTTGATAGGTTTATCACTCGTAAGGTTGAAGTGTTTGTGATGAAACTAGGAATCATACTCCAGAAACCATTGTTAGAAATATCTAACACCTTAAGAATTGGGAGGTCCCATATTCCACCTTCCAGTGAACCATTGAAGTAGTTGTTGTCCAAGAATAACCATGTCAGAGAGGAAGAGTTCAAGTGAGAAGGGAATAATTTCCCCTGTAGGTTATTATGTGACAGAATCAAGAATCTCAATGAAGCACAGCCTGCCCACAAAGACTCAGGAACTTCACCAGAAAATTCGTTTCTGCTCAAGTCCAAAGCAATCAACTTGGACATGTTTGTGATTGATGGAGGAATACCACCATTAAATCCATTTCTTGACATATTTAGAATCTCCAAATTTGGAAACAACAGACCAATATTTGCGGGAAGCTTTCCCTTCATATTGTTGGCGAAGAGCTGCAAATGAACCAAGGGAATAGGAGGTTGATCTATGTAGGTTGTGAGCTCCAAAGGCCCTGTGAACTTGTTATTATGCAAAATCAGAGACCTGAGGTTTGTGTTGTTTAGAATCAACCAATTTGGAAACTCTCCAACCAAATCATTATTTGAGAGATCAAGATAGTGCAAGTCATGTTGGTAAAAGAGAAAGGAAGGGAATGTTCCACTGGGTGCGTTTACTTTACAATTTGCCAAGTGAAGAACTTCTAATTGAAATGGGGGGACCCAAGGGAGAGCTTCACTCTCAGTATCCACTTGAAACTCATTGGTGTACATTTGAAGTGCAAGTACCTTAAGCCGTGTATTATTGTTGAAGGAACTCAAAGGGAATAAGCCTTTAAAATTGTTACTCACAGATGAAAAATACTCAAGGGATGTAAGACTAGCTATAACTGATGCTGGTATTTCCCCTGATAGGATATTCATCGAGAGATCAAGAGCTTGAAGAGATGTCAAGTTGGCCAAGCATTTCTCCAATGAACCATTGAATGCATTGTCGTTAAAATCCAGCACACGTATCTTCTTCAGTTTACATATATCTAAGGCCAAAAATACTCAAGTGCTGTTAATATATGTATGTATGTATGTATGAAGTATAAGCTGGGATAATTTGATGCGAGGGTGACCATGATGACTCTTGCTTACCTTGAAATGGCAGAGATCCACCAAGGTGATTGCTTTTCAGTACAAGGACTTCCAGGTTGCTTAGATTAGCCAAAACTGTATAGCAATGATTCAAAATAATCTCTACCTTCAATACATGATATAGAACTCTCAAGTTGGGATATAGTTAAATAACCTTTAGAATGCGATTCACTTTTTACAGGAACCAGGGTTAAGAATAGAACATCGTAAGGGAGATGTCAAGATGAAACTATATATGGCTCAATTACTCTTATTTTTTCAGCAGTCCCCTTTTCTTCAAATTTGGTGTTGAAATAAAAATTTTGGAAAGCCAAAAAGAATACCAGTCAACACAGATTTCATGTGATTGACTGATTGTCCTGAGTTATATCTTCATATAGATGCAAAAACCTAAGAAATTGCTAGCAGAACTGATCGGTGACTTGATCTGAATTGGAGGAATATATACGAAAATTGCCGATGCTGAGAGCTCAACGAAATAGCTCCAAGAGAATGCATAAAAGTGGATATACATCTTAACCTTAAATCTTAAGGCATTGAGTTGTCTTTTCCATATATATATCTCTTTTCCTTCTCAATTCTATCTTATATGAGAGTTTTTCTCATACAATCAAGCCCACTCACACTTGACATCAAACAATGGTTTGATGCAGGAAAACTGAGATGCTTCTAGGATTCCTCCTATTTTGAACAACTATGACATGCATGGGATATAACTAGAATCATGTAAAATTTAATTCAAAAATACTACTTGATTAAAAAAATCAACAACTTAGCTCTATCGAAAGATAAGATTGTAATCTACCCAACAAAAAAAAAACAAACAAAACAAAACAAAAGAGATCATGGTGAGATTGTACCATCAGTGTTTTCCAAACTTTGAAATTGACCTTTGGAGAAGTTGAGGCTTGTGAGCTCCTTGAAGTTTTGGAACAATGAGAAATCTATGGAAACATAAGCAGATGTTTCTATGGAGAGGCCAATTCATCAGAAGGCCTATAATTAAGAGCTTGGAGAGACAGCCCAGAAACACGACCAGAAGAAGCATGGCACGTGACACGTTCCCAGGTACAGCAATCACTGTTAGGATCAGTAACCCATGAAGATAAACGCTGGTCCACGAGTGGGTCATCATAGTTTTCATGAAAATAAGCCTTGATATTGAGCAGTGCTTCCCTCTCTTCTCTTACACAACATTTGATTCCAAGTGTATGTGCCAAAACCAGAAAACACACCGACATTAATACCCACAACCTCATTTTTTATCATATTGTTTTCTGTAACTCTGTGAGACTCATATTACCCTTATATATATACAACGTAGGAGGCTCCTAGTCTCTTGTCGCTGTTTCTTTACTTACACGTTACCATGTTTTTCTTCTCTGCAAGTTGGATCGATGATATAGGAGTCAAGCCAATGCACGATCTAGTTAACGAGATTTTCAAAGGCCTAGTAAAAACCTACTTCATGAACGCGTTGTTTACTTAGAAAAAGCGCTCACACAGTGCAAGTTGAAGCTCCATGTCCAGATTTTTCGTTGTTTCATTGACGAAGCTGAAGAGTTTGGTTTATAGTTACTGATATTTCCCTTCATGGGGTCAGTCAAATTGAAAAACTGGTCATCATGTTGACTTTTAAAATTTTTAACACTGTTATTATGATGAATCCTTTTGTACGTTATTGGTTACCTTCTACTTTATGGACTGCGCGTCTTGTTTGGGCTTTGAATGTTTGTGGGAATAATTTTGTAAAAATTATTAATGTGTGTGAATTGCATTAATTGAATAATTCATTGGTAAATTATGTAAATATGTAATTAAGCTGCTTGGTTTGATAAAATTAAATAATAATAAGCAAGAACATAATGGTTATTTTGTATTGTTATATGGATTATGATAAGTGCACATAGAAGTATAAGCTCATCGTCATTGAGAAAGGCCCATCTACAACGCTTTGTGAGTCAATTGGTTTCATATCACTGTCCTAAGTATGGACAAAAATCAAGCGAAGAATGGCAATAAAGTCCCAAAAAAAAATAGTTAAATTTTTTAATAAATTTTTTTATAAAATAAATTACAAACATCAATTCAAACATTTATAAAAAGAAATTTAAATTTTAAACTCATTATTATATTTAAAACTTACATTTTTCATTTGCAATTAAAACTTTTAAATTTATAACTGTTTAAATTGATATTTACAATTGATTTTTCAACAAAAAAATTGTTAGTGACTTAATTATCATTAATTTGCTCTTTTGGGACTAAACTTCATTTTCCCAAAATCAAGAGGCTTATCAGAGTGAGAGAATAATGCCAGAGCTAGGAAAGAGGTAGGCTAATCCTATATGAACTCAAGCCCATAAGTTTGATTATCCTAAAATCAATCATTTTTTTTAAATTTAATTTTTATTTAAAGGGCTTAGGGCTAATATTATAAGCTCCCTTTTATTATGTTTTATTCTTTTTGAATTTTTAAAAATTAAAGTATTCAATTCTAATATTTCATATTTTTAAAAATATTAATTATAATGTTTAAAAATAAATAAATAATAGATATTTTAATTTTAAAATATAAGCATATATTCTAAAATTTAAATTCAATTTAAAAATTAAAATATTTTATTTTTTAAGGATAAAATAAAAACAAGCCTAAATAAGCTACCCAATCCGATTATTAAGGTTAGACTTCAAAACTCAAAAATGCTAATTTTTTTAAGTCTAAACTTTTATGAAAACATGCTTAATCGTGTTACCTGTTCAATTCAACCATTACTCTCGACTCTAGATAATATAATATAATTAATTAATTAATAATTAGAGTTTAATGTGGTTTCTGATACAGTCTTGTACACGTTGAAACATAGTGCATTATTATAAATTTATTAGCTAGAGTAGGAGTAAGTTATGAATTTTCCTGCATTATCTTACATTATCTGATTCAAATTATTATTGTCCTTTAATTACTTTTTGTTCTTTCTTCTACTTTACATATTTTGTATATACCCACACAACGGTGAGCATAGATTGATTCACTTGGATTCCATTCAGTTCTAAATTATTCAAAAAAACTGAAATAATTTAATAAAATCAATAATTCAGGTGGGCTAAATTTATTCAGATTATATTCAATTTAGACTAAACTTGTCCGGCTCAAGCTATCCAAATATATATATTCAAATAGCCAAACCCCTGATAAACATATATAAAAACTGATCGAGTCCAGGCTATAATGTTTGCCTCATTGAACATACACAAAAAAAGAAAAAAAAATTATGATTTTTATAGATGACACGTCGTCAAATAATTGGCACTTTAGTTGAGGATAGCTATCATTGGTGGACTTGTCTAGACTAGATGGTGTTGCTTGCTTTTTTTTAAAAAAAAAAAGAATCACATGCGTGCCTTTATTAAAAGTTACCCATAAAGTTGCGTTTTTATTACCTTTTTTAAAGTCCCTCCAAAGTTGCTTTTTTTTTAATCACATCTGAAATTTCTGCTCAGATTGCACGTCTCACGACCCAACTAATGTGGTTCTTCCCATGAAATAATATTTATGTTATAATGTGAACTAAAATAACTAAATAAGTGTGCCCATCTATTAATTAACTATTAAAGTGTCTCCTTATTAGGGATATTATTGTTTGAAACATGATCATCGTAAAAGATTAGCTCATTCCTTTAAACTAAATTCCATTTGTATTTTTCTTAGTTTTTTTTATTATAATCACAAATATCCATCAATTGAAAATAATCATATTCGAGATATAGTTAGGCACTTAATATGAGTACTTACTTTAATAAAAATTGAAATATTAATTTATTATATTATGAGTAATTAGTTCATTCTACCAAACCTAACATGGATTGATTATTTTTCTTAGTTTTTATCCTTGATGGCAATAAATGGCCTCTCAACTTGATTTATTATTAGTTTTTTTTTTTTGGTTAGTGAATAACTTGCTTTAATTATTCCACGTGAAATGAAAGTCAATAATCATGTTGCACCAACACCGCACGTCATAATAAGGAAGACAATCCCATTATCATTTTGCGATAATTAAAAGATAATCATTTTCTTATTCTTTCGGTATTTGTTTGTTCTAATATTGAAGTCAAACTTCCTTTTTTATTTAAAAAATTATACTAAGTTTTGTCATCAAATTAAATAACCAAAAAATAATCTCAAATAAGAGTATAATTAAATGCACTAATGTTTCATTGTATTGATGATGATTATTATACATACATATACATAGTTAGACCGTGAGTCTGTGTTACGTAGATATAGTCAAAAGCCTAATTATGTAAAAATTGATATATGCTCAACGGCTTCATAATTTTGCGACTGACTTTGCGGTTGCTGGGTATCTTTCAAAGTAGATTCAAAAAGATATCGAAAAAGAAAATAATCTTTAAAAAAAAAAAGAGTGGGGAACTTGACTAATTATATTCATTATTTTGTGTCTTCCAAATTTTTTAAAATATCAAAAATACACTAACTAGTAACCACGATTAGATTGAATGATAAAACATTCAACATCTATTAAAAAAGATGTTACATTCAAACTTTAAATATAAAAATTAAAAATCAATCTTTATATATATATATATATATATAGGTCCAACTGGATCATATTTGATTATATTGTATGATATGATTTGTGAAAAAAAAGTTAAAAATATCTTCTTAAAAAATAAAGTCAAAATCACATTTAAAGACACGAGAAAATAATCAAGTAGTAATGGTTGAGGACCACAAAATTTTAAAATTTAATTTAAGGACCGTTGAAAAAATTATCTTTCACTAAAAGACCCTTTATACTAACTAACTATGCATATTAAAGAAGGGGTCTTTCAGTCAAAATATCATTTTTAAACTACAAAAAGGATCATATTCTTTCAATTTAATTTCACAATTTTGTTGTCTTCAATTGTTTTAAAAATAAATTATATTGAATGATAGTGAAAAAAAAAAGATAAAAATATATGGAGACTAAGCAACCAAGTATCATTATGTCATGAAACACTCTACACAAGAATCAGATATTATAGCTAAGAATCAAGCCTTGTAAAAAATGGGAGGTAGGTGGATAATTTATGTTGGTAATAATAATTAATAGTACAATATATGAAACATGGAATATTAAATATGTCCAGAGGAAGAGGGCATGTGGAGTTAAATGCTAGATGCCCAAAAGTCTTCTACAAGCATCACTGTGGTTGCAGGTAGAAGGGACCCACATGCCTTCTCTTCATTATCCACTATACCTGTGCCATGCACATCATCCATAATTTACTATCTCAACACTTTAATTCATTCATTATCTTCACTTCCTTTCTGTGTATCAGGAGATTGAACCACTGGATTTAAGGAATCTGGTGCATTTTATTAAATAAATTTAATTTTCTTAATGTGATTTCTTTATTAACAAAATTACTATGGTTGATTATTTTGTTACTCCACATGTCGACGGGCTGGGTTCTAAATATAGAGTTCTGTCTATTTTTTTTTTTAAAGCATAAGAAATAGACTTTGCTAATAATAAGGATTGTATTGAAAATAAATTATAGATATCTTCTAATTAAATTATTACATACACAATGATTAAGAACTGAAGTTACCAGAATTCTTATCTTTCATGTCAATTTTAATTTTTCACCTCATCCTTTTTTAATTGCAGCAAGTTGTTGCAATATTTTTAATTACTCCCTCCATTCTAAATTATAGGATACTTTTAAAGGAGTTTTTTATTTTAAAATATAAAATATTTTAAATAGATTAATATTTTATTAAATGTATCGTTTTTAATATGATCATTTCTTGCTATATAATTAATTTTTGTTCATTCTCTTTTTAATGTATTAAATGATGGGTATTTTTGAAAATTTATATTTTTTTCAAAAAATAAAATTGTTAAGTGTATTTAATAAAATTTATTTATATGTGAGATTTTATCTAAAAGTGTCTTTGAGATGGAGAGAGTAGTATATAACATTTTATTGTAATCATTAACATCCATTTTAATAAAAGGAAAAATTGAAATCTCACATTTTTCTAGGAGTTAAGGTATCAGTGATCGTTCTTTAAAAACCATGTGGTTAGTTTATTTTTCCTTTTAATTAGGATCACAGGAAGTATTTGATTTTTTTTTTTACCCATATCTAGTATACCGGAAAATGGTAACAATTTACTATTTCTTTTTATGATAAAATCTCTTTTTTTTTATAAGAATATAAT